ACAAGTATCGTTCTGTGAAGAAGAAAAGATGTGCCTCTATCTCCTACACATCGCAAAGATATCACATAAAAAAATACCGTTCAATACTATTTAAGTACGTTTGCCCGTCATGACCACCAACAGCATACAGTAGATTGTCCACCACAGCCACCCCTACACCACATCTGAGAAGAATTATGTAAATGGAAAACTTGAAAATATTCAAGAAAGCAGCGCTTACCTTCGCTTACTCATTGGAGCAACACATTGCCATACTGGAATTGCCTTACCCGGATCAAGACGTTCTACCGACGCTATAGCGTCCCCGCTACACCATCCACCCACTAGAACACTTCCATTAACTGTATATTGATTATGATTTTACTATGAATTCTAATGTTGAACTAGTAAATTTTTGCCGTTTTGTCCCAACATTTAGACGGTGTTTTCGTGGAAACATTGTTATAGAGTCATCACCAAAATTCTACCTGCATAAAGGACTTCTCCAAACTTAATAGGCTTCCTAGGGCGAGTTCGAGGACCCTGCATATTCGGTCGCTCAAGTGGTAAAAGTAGGTAATTCTGAAAAGACAAAACATTACTGGAAGGTTGAGAATATTATTAACCACAGTTATTAATATATGGATTAACAAGAAATTGAGCAAAATAAGAAGATTCACCTTCGCCTCATCAACGAGATCACGACAAGCGGCATCAGCTTTTACCAGAGCATCTTCACTAACCGTACTAACCAGGAATTTGGGATGGCACAACGGCAGTCTTACGTGTTCTAGTAACTAGAACAGCGAAATAGTAAAGTGTCTGGATAACTAACAAAGCTGTACCTTAGATAAGTACTGCTTGCGTGATGGTAAATCAAATCGTACCCATTGCACAACAGCCGCAAAGACCTTCAAACCTTTGTCTAATAGTAAAAGCAGGAAGATTTGAATAAGTGAAACAAGTAAATCAATACATAATTCAACAATTTTAACTCACTTGTTCTTCTGAGCGAACGTGAAGCTCTTCGCTAGATATAAGATCGATTAATTGGTTAACTGGAAGTAGGTGGAATTCCTCTGTCCCGACGACATCCTGCAAATCAAATACAGCTAGCCAAGCTAATTCGAATCATGTTAAAATTTCAGTTCAAACCCCTTGATTACTAACGAGTTTAGGTTCGAAGTCATCAATGAGAACGACCACTCAAAGAAAATCAATATGAAGAAATGAAGAGCCGACTAGGCCGCAA